GTCCGCCGGGCTGGGGGGCAGCGGGCGCTGGAGGGGTTGGTGCCAGGGGTCCCCGCGGCCTGGGGGACAAAGGGGGAGCGGCGCGTGCAGCCGGGAGGAGGGGGCGGGGCCGGGGCGCGGAAGCCCCGCCCCCTCCCCCTCCTCTCCTCTCGGCCCCTGAGATGCGGGGTCTACCGAGAGGGAGGGGGCTGATGCGGGCCCGGGGTAGGGGCCGTGCGGCCCCTCCGGGCAGCAGAGGCCGCGGGAGGGGGGGTGCCCATAGAGGAAGAGGTAGGCCCCGGAGCCTGCTTTCTCTTTCCAGGGCCCAGGCATCCTGGGCCCCCCAACTCCCTACCGGACTGACCAGCCCGCCGGTCCCTTGTCTCCCCTCCCAGGGGGAGGCCCCCGCAGAAATGGGGGCGCTGCTGCTGGAAAAGGAACCCAGAGGAACCACCGAAAGAGGTGAGTGTGCGACAGAATCAGCCCAGTTGGACCTTCACCTCCCCCAACACAGGATCTTCTGAGTCCTTAGTCTTGAACTTTTTCTCTTCCTCTTTAGTTCATGGCTCTTTGGGGGACACCTCTCATAGTGAGGAGAACCTGCCCAAGGCCAACCCCGAGCCCCTGGAGCCAGTTGGCCCCTCATCTCCAGCTTCTGTCACTGTCACGGTTGGCGATGAGGGGGCTGACACCCCAGCGGGAACCACACCGCTCATTGGGGATGACCCCGAGAGCCTGGAGGGAGATGGGGACCTTCATGGGGGCCGCATCCTGCTGGGTGAGAAGCTGGGGAGTTGGGGGGGGGGGCGGTTCCTCTGACTCTTCTATCTTGCCTTAACTTTCTACCTGCCTGCCTGCCCATCTGTTTTCTAGGCCATGCCACAAAGTCCTTCCCCTCTTCCCCCAGCAAAGGGGGTGCCTGTCCCAGTCGAGCCAAGATGTCAATGACCGGGGCTGGGAAGTCACCCCCATCAGTCCAGAGCTTGGCCATGAGGCTGCTGAGTATGCCAGGGACCCAGGGGACAGCAGCAGCCGGGCCTGAACCCCCTCCAGCCACCACCAGTCCTGAGGGGCAGCCCAAAGTCCACAGAGCCAGGAAAACCATGTCCAAACCAGGAAATGGGCAGGTGAGGAGAGGGGCAGAAGGGAGGGAGGAAGAGGAAAACTAAGGTAGGAGATCAAAAACCCTTGGGGGCTTTTTTGTAATTTAGCTTTAGGCTTCTAATCTATTTACATATTTAAATGCTTTGTGGTGCTGTGGGTTAATGGGCCAGACTGCAAAGCCAATTAATTGAACTGTAAGGTTGACAGTTCAAGCTCACCAGTCACTCCTGGGAAACCCTATACAGGGTCTCTATGGGTCAGAACCGACTCAATGGCACTTGACAACAACAACAACAAAGGATCTATTGCTGACAAATAATGGGCTTTGACTTCATTTGTATAAACAGACCCTCTTCTGTTCTGTCTTCCTGGAGTTTACCTTCTTGGGGGACAGGGAGCTCAGAAGACAGATGTTAAAGAGTTAATTACATAATTAATGTCTTAATTACTTCTATGGTAATGACTATGTAAAGGAACTTCAAACCACTCTTCTTTTCTACCTCAAAGCAAGCCCCCAGGGGAATGTTCCCTCCCTTCTTTGAAACCAGCTTCTGTTCCATTTTTAAAGTTTTATCACAAATTGCCAGAAAAAAAGTAAAGGTCACAGAAATGACAAAGGAGAGAAATCACAAAGGCCCCAGGATCTCAGAAGCTTTTAGGGCTCTTGATATCTAGGTCTTTAGCCTTGCTAATGTTTGTTTTCTCATCTGTAAAATGGGAATAAAGGTTCTGCTCATGGGCGGTTGGAGAGATAAGTGAGTGTTCAGTAAGGAATGTGCTGTGGTCTGGTTCCCAGAGCTCCAAATAGCACTTTGGAGAGTGTGAATCACCAACCCACCGCACCTGGGGCACCAGGCAAATCAGCAAAAACTATAGATGCTACCTGATCCAAAATGCTCCCTATCCCCTCCAGCCCCCCATTCCTGAGAAGCGGCCCCCTGAAGTACAGCATTTCCGAATGAGTGATGATGTGCACTCCCTGGGGAAGGTGACCTCAGGTCAGTTTCACCTCCTACCCACCTGTGGTCTGACACTTGCCCTGAGGGTGTAGGGCACTGGTCTCACCCTTTCTCTCTCCTTCCAGATGTAGTCAAAAGGAGGAAGCTGAACTCTGGAAGTGGCCTGGTAAGCAAGGAGAGGCAGGGAGCAAGACCTTGCCAACTGTATGGGGCGTGGCAGTAGAGGTGGGGGAGAGGAGGCCTGTTCCAAGGGTATTTAGGCACTGGGGCTACACCCAGGGTCCTCAAAGTAGGTAGGTGAGGGGAGGGTGCCAGCAACCTCAATTTTTCTCATTTTTTTTCCAGTCGGAGGAGTTGGAATCTGCCCGGGGAGAAGTGACCCTGCAGAAGGGGGACTCGGGGTCCCTGGAGGAATGGGAGACCGTGGTGGGGGATGACTTCAGTCTCTATTATGATTCTTATTCTGTGGATGAGCGAGTGGACTCTGACAGTAAGGTGAGACCCCACCAGTCTGCCACCCTCCCAGCACTTCCCAAGGTCCAACTTTCTCTCTAGTCTGTTTTGTTGTTTATTGGTTATTTATTACTCCCTTACACTATAATCTCCCCGCTCAACACAGACCTACTGGATTATTTTATAGCAGATCTCAGATTCCATGTCATCTTGTCTGTAAATATCTTCATATGTGTCTATAATCATAAGACCTTTTGTATTTGGACATTATTGCATTACTATTTTCACTTCTATAAAATACATTACTAGTTTCACTTCTACCAGTAATTCCATAAATACTGTCACACATCCGCTCCATGTTCCTGTTTCCTTAGTTAATTCATAAAATTATTTTTTTTAAGATCCAAATGAGGTCCAGACCTTGATTTGATTTGTGTTTGGCTTAGGTTGTTGTGAAGTGCCGTCAAGTCGGTTCCGACCCATAGCAACCCTGTATAAGGTTTCCAACGAGCAGCTGGTGAGCTTGAACTGCCAACCTTGCAGTTCAAATGGCTTTGCAAATGGTGCATTAACGCACAGCACCACACCAGGACTCTACCTCTAGATATATAGTTTCCACATCTCCTAAAAGTTTTTGTTTGTTTGTTTTTAACTTGAGCCATTTATTTGTTGAAGGAGCCAGATCAGTTGTCCTACAGAAGTTCTCATGTTAGGAGTTGGCTAATTGGGATGAAATATGATGCTTTTCTCTCTGCCACATATTTTTGGCAAACAAACAAATCTAGATAGATCTGGAAGCATGATCAGCTTTAGATTCCTTTTTTGTTTTTGCAAGAAGGCTTGATAGTAAGTGCCAAGTGCTTCCAATTACATCACGTCGAGCAGCACAGAGCATCAGGTCATCTCTCATTTGTGATGTCAAGATTGGACATCAGGCCCAGGTGATATCAGCTTGATCCATTGGTTATAATGTTCTTTGTGAGTTTTTCACCTACTGTATTTTGCAGCCATTGATAGTCTTGCCTATTTATGAGCTTTATAAAAAGTAGTCCTGGTGTGGCATTGTGGGCTAATGCGCTGGACTTCAAGGTCAGTTTGAATCTCAAGATCAGCAGTTCAAGCTCACCAGCCACTTTTCAGAAACCCTATACGGGGTCATTATGAGCATGTTGTGTTGTTGTGATGTGCCATGGAGTCGGTGCCGACTCATAGCAATCCTGTGCAAGGTTTCCAAGGCTGTAAATCTTTATGGGAGCAGAACGCCTATCTTTCTCCTACGGAACAGCTGGTAGTTTCGAACCACAGACTGTGAGATTAGCAGCCTGATTTGTAACCACTACACTGCCAGAGCTCCTTATTATGAGTATAAACAACAACTATCCCCTAGAAGTTGTGGTTTTCTTTTTCTTTTTTTTTAATGTTGCCAAGACACATGCACATTGTTGCATATAATTATAACACCTTTTTGACTGTTGTATGTGAGGCGTCTTCAAAAAAATTGTGGACTAATTTTCTGTTAGCTTTGTTTATTTTTTATTGTGAATTAAGTAAGGGTTTACAAAGCCAGATCATCAGTTTTACATTAAGAAAATCATAAACTTTGTTTCATTACAATGATTGTAATGTACCATCAGTTAACAGTAATTACCTCTATTCGCTTTAACTCCTGGTTTGTTTGTTTTTTTAATGCCTCTTCATCTAGTAACTCAGCCTTTTCTCTCCTGACCACACTGCCTATCTTTTTGTTGTTGTTGTTATTTTTGTTCTTCTACGTCATTGTCCTGGTGTGACGTTACAGGATAAACACTGGACCGTAGTTCAAACCTATCAGCCACTCCTTGGAAGCCCTATACAGGGTCCAACTCAATGGCATTTCACAACAGCCTTGCTGTCTGGTCCTGGGGGCTGGATACATCCGGCTCTGCCTCTCTAAAGCCACCCACCCAAAAGAGAGTTGTGGCCTGGAAGTGATTGTTCCCTGTGCCCCATCTTGTCTCTCTATCAGTCTGAAGTTGAAGCCCTTACTGAACAATTAAGTGAAGAAGAGGAAGAGGAGGAGGAAGAGGAAGAAGAAGAAGAGGAAGAAGAAGAGGAAGAGGAAGAAGAGGAGGAAGAAGATGAGGAATCAGGCAATCAGTCAGACAGGGTAAGGGTTGGCATCCTCACAAGAGGTGGACACTATAGGACAAGAGACCAGAGACCCTAACTCTCCTCCTCCCTAGAGTGGCTCCAGTGGCCGGCGCAAAGCCAAGAAGAAGTGGCGGAAGGACAGCCCATGGGTGAAGCCAACCCGGAAACGGCGGAAACGGGAGCCTCCAAGGGCCAAGGAGCCACGAGGTGAGGGGGCTGCTCTGCTTTTGGGTCCCCTCCTCCAGCCCTCTCCTGGCCCCCAGAGAGCATGCATGTATACAGACATTCTTGCATGTGTACACCCGCATGTACCCACACCCATGCACCTGTGAGCTCGCACTCTCACTCTCTCTGTCTCTATGTCAGGAGTGAATGGTGTGGGCTCCTCAGGCCCCAGTGAGTACATGGAGGTTCCTCTGGGGTCCCTGGAGCTGCCCAGCGAGGGGACCCTCTCTCCCAACCATGCTGGTAATTGCTGATTGCTGGGACAAGGAAGCCACTAGGGGGCTTCCTCAAGACTGGAGGGAACGGGGAGGAGGAGGGCCCTGTTGTGGTAGTATTCACAGCCAGGCTTTAGGGGTTCTAGAGAATGAAAGGAGACAAAGGGTGGGGGTGAGAGGACCCATCAGGGGTCCCAGTGGGTGAGAGGCATGGCCTTCCTCAGCTCCCATGTTTTCTCCATCCAAGGAGTGTCTAATGACACATCTTCGCTGGAGACTGAGCGTGGGTTTGAGGAGCTGCCCCTTTGCAGTTGCCGCATGGAGGCGCCCAAGATCGACCGCATCAGTGAGAGGGCGGGGCACAAGTGCATGGCCACAGAGAGTGTGGACGGAGAGGTGGGCCACTGGGCAGCTAGGAGAGGTGGCAGGGAGAGCCAGCGCTAAGCCTCAGCTTCATTGTCTTTCCTTGTGTGTCCTCACTGCCCACAGCTGTCAGGCTGCAACACTGCCATCCTGAAGCGGGAGACCATGAGGCCCTCCAGCCGTGTGGCCCTGATGGTGCTCTGTGAGACCCACCGCGCCCGTATGGTTAAACATCACTGCTGCCCAGGATGTGGCTACTTCTGCACAGCAGTGAGTGAGCTGCAAGGTGGGCAGGCACACCTGGCAGGGAAAGGGTTCCCAAGGCCTGACCTTATTTCTCTGCCCCCAGGGCACCTTCCTGGAGTGCCACCCTGACTTCCGAGTGGCCCACCGTTTCCATAAGGCCTGTGTGTCCCAACTGAATGGAATGGTCTTCTGTCCCCATTGTGGGGAAGATGCCTCCGAGGCCCAGGAGGTGACCATCCCCCGGGGGGATGGGATGGTCCCACAAGCTGGCACTGCAGCTCCTGCCCCTCCGCCCCTAGCCCAGGATGCCCCTGGAAGAGCAGACACATCCCAACCCAGGTACTGGTTGTTCCCTTCTCTGTTGTCTGTTCCTACCCACTTGCTGTTGCCTCCAGACATCAGCACCTTCTCCCACAGTGCCCGGATGCGAGGGCACGGTGAGCCCAGGCGCCTGCCCTGCGACCCTTTGGCCGATACCATTGACAGCTCAGGGCCCTCACTTACCCTGCCTAATGGAGGCTGCCTCTCAGCGGTAGGACTGCCCCCTGGGCCCGGTCGGGAAGCCCTGGAAAAGGCCCTGGTCATCCAGGAGTCAGAGAGGTGAGTGGGGTTGGGGCTGGAGCGGGAGCAGCTCTGCCAGTGGTGGTCAAGTACCAGGAGCCAAGCCCTTCTTCCTCACCATGCAGGCGGAAGAAGCTTCGTTTCCACCCACGGCAACTGTACTTGTCAGTGAAGCAGGGAGAACTGCAGAAAGTGATCCTGATGCTATGTGAGTTTTCCTCCGCTTGTTCAGTGCACCTCGGTCGAATAGGGACTATATTGCCAGGCACTGGGCTCAAGACCAAGAGGACAGGGATGGAGGGTGCAGTCCTCACCTTACAGGACTTAGTGTGGTGGGAAAATACACACAGGTGACCCAGGATGATGAGGGTACCTTGCGCTGAGAGCTATGTTGGGTGCACTGATCTGTGTAAGCTCAGAGATGGAGGCATAGGGAGGTATCTTGCTTGGTGACATGGAGGTACTAAAGGGCAGGACCAGGGTTTGAACCCAGGCACTGCCAGAGCTCTGAATGCTGCACTGTGAAAAGTACTTTGGTGGAAATGAGCACAGGGGATGCCCAGGAGGGACCCAGATCCAGGTTAGAGCCCTGAGGAGGTGTTGCCCACACCCTGGCTTGCTTACCACTTGTCCCTTCCTCTCCTGGTACAATGGGGTCTCCCTGCAGTGGACAACCTGGACCCCAACTTCCAGAGTGACCAGCAGAGCAAGCGCACACCCCTACATGCGGCTGCCCAAAAGGGCTCAGTGGAGATCTGCCACGTGCTGCTGCAGGTCAGCATTGCAAGCTCTCTGCCTGGGTGACCAGGTCTCGGACCTCCTTCCCAGCCCCAACCCTCCTTGGTGCCAGCCTGAGTCTGCCTCCTTACAGGCTGGAGCCAACATCAATGCGGTAGACAAGCAGCAGCGAACGCCATTGATGGAGGCTGTAGTGAACAACCACCTGGAGTTGGCACGGTACATGGTACAGCGTGGTGGCTGCGTTTACAGCAAGGTACCAAGAGGGAGTGGCCCACAGAGTCAGGGACTGGTTTGTGGTGGCAGCCAGTCTTCAACTGACCATGTCTCCCTCAGGAGGAGGATGGCTCCACCTGCCTCCACCATGCAGCCAAAATTGGGAACCTGGAGATGGTCAGCTTGCTGCTCAGCACGGGACAGGTGGATGTCAATGCCCAGGTCAGTGGCTCCCAGGCTGCGGCCCAGCCCCAACTCCTCAGCTCACCTGAGCCTGGGGCTTTCGGACCTTTTTATGCTTCTTGTCTCCTCTGACTCTCCCTGAGGTGTCTATCTCCATCTCTTTGTTCATCTTCATTTGCTCTTCTCTTGATTGTTTCCCTTTTTCTTCCTTTACTTTTCTGTAGGGTTTGCAGAGTAGTGAGTTGCTACTGTGGTCTCTGAAAGTGACCAGTGAGGTTTTCTGTGAACTCTTGGATTCTCTTATATTGGTTGTGTTTTCATTTGTTACCAAACCAGTGGCCATCGAGTCACACTCATAGCAACGCGGTGTGTCTCAGAGTACATCTGGGCCCCATAGGTGGCTGACGACATTTTTAGATTGCCAAGCCTTTCTTCCAAGGTGCCTGTATCCAAAGCTTTGGTGAGCACCTGAATGCTTAACATTTGGACCACCCAGGGACACCTGTAACCTTTTAGTGTCATGCTTTTTGATCTTTGAATTGTTTGTTTAGTTTTCATTCAGGGAGTGCCTTTGAAGTAGGCCCTTGCCTCAGCACACGTCCTGCCCCCAACTCAGAATCTGCCACTTGGCTAAGAGACGCTCGTTCCTTTACATGGGAAGTCTTTTTGTTTGAGAGTAGTCTCTGTGTCTAAGGGTATTTGTTGCTCCTGGGATGGCATTGCATCTAGGACTATTCAGTAGGCACACCAAGAAATACATATCTTTTCAGAAAGAATAAATTATTCTCATAATTCTCAGCGACTTTGCCCAAAGCCCCACAGCCTGTGAGTGGTTGAGCTGGGATTCAGTCATCTGGACCCTACAACCTGAACCTGCTCTGAGACTAGGGAGGAGGTGGCCGCTGCCTGACCCTCCCTCCTTTCTCCCCACCCACAGGACAGTGGAGGGTGGACGCCCATCATCTGGGCCGCAGAGCACAAGCACATAGAAGTGATACGCATGCTGCTGACACGAGGCGCTGATGTCACCCTCACTGATAATGTGAGTGGGAGTTTCGTTGGGGTGGGAGAGGTGGGGATAACCCTAGGCCCCTGAGGAAGTGGAGGCCGGGGGCAGGGGCTCAGCTGCCTATATCGGCCCATCCCCTCACGCCTCCATAGGAGGAAAACATCTGCCTGCACTGGGCCTCCTTCACCGGCAGTGCTGCCATCGCTGAGGTCCTCCTAAATGCCCGCTGCGACCTCCACGCTGTCAATTACCATGGGGACACACCCCTGCACATTGCAGCCCGGGAGAGCTACCACGACTGTGTGCTGTGAGCCCCCACCTGGCCCTACCCCTGACTCCCCTGCCCCCACCACCACTCAACCCCAGGCCCCATGGGCTCCCTGTCCCCTCCCCAGGTTGTTCCTGTCCCGTGGGGCAAACCCTGAGCTTCGGAACAAGGAGGGAGACACGGCTTGGGACCTGACCCCCGAGCGCTCCGACGTGTGGTTTGCACTCCAGCTCAATCGCAAGCTGCGGCTCGGAGTTGGAAACCGGGCCATCCGAACCGAGAAGATCATCTGCAGGTGAGGCCAGGTCCCATCAAGCCCTCAGATTAGTCCCAGACCCTCTTGAGGCCCCACAAAGAATTAATTACTCAGCTAATTCTCAGCAACCTTGGACAATAGATACAATTTATAAAATAAAGCCTTGATAAGCTTTAGCAAATAAAAGTAGGGATTATTGTTGTTTGTTGTTAGGTGCCATCAAATTGGTACCGACTCATAGGGAGGGACCTATGCACAACAGAATGAAACATTGTCCGGTCCTGGGCCAATCTCACAATTGTTGCCATGCTTGATCCCATTGATGCTGCCATTTTGCCAATCCCATCTCGCTGAAGGTCTTCCTCTTTTTCTCTGATCCGCCACCTTATCAAATATGATATCCTACTCCAGCAGCTGGTCCCTCCTGACAATATGTCCGAAGTACAAGAGACGAAGTTTGGCCATCCTGGCCTCCAAGGAGCACTCTGGCTGCACTTCTTCCAACACAGATCTGTTTGTTCTTTTGGCATCCTATGGTACTTTCAATATTCTCCTCTAAAACCATAACTCAAAGGCATCAATTCTTCTACAATCTTCCTTATTCACTGTCCAGCTTTCGCATGCATATGAGGTTATTGAAAATACCATGGCTTGGGTCAGGTGCACCTTAGTCCTCAAGCTGACATCTTTGCTCTTCAACACTTTAAGAAAGTCTTGTGCAGCAGATTAGCCTAATGCAATACGTCATATGATTCTTTGACTGGTGTTTATTGGTCCACTGGTGGGCATTTTTGTTTCTTTACATTGAGATACAATCCATAGCAAAGGCTGTGATCTTTGATCTTCATCAGTAAGTATTTTAAGTCCTCTTCACTTTCAGTAAGCAAGGTTGTATCATCTGCATATCGCAGGTTGTTAATGAGTCTTCCTCCAATCCTGATGCCACATTTTTCTTCATATAACCCAGCTTCTTGGATTATTTGCTCAGCACACAGGTTAAATAAATATGGTGAAAGAATACAATCCTGTCGCACACCTTTCTTAATTTCAAGCCATTTGTGTTCCCATATTCTGTTTGAACAACTGCCTCTTGGCCCAGGTACAGATTCCTCATGAGCACAATTAAGTGTTCCGCAATACTCATACTTCACAATGCTGTCCATAGCTTGTCATGATCCACACGATCGAAAGCCTTTGCATAGTCAGTAAAGCACAGCTAAACATCTTTCTGATATTCTCTGCTTTCAGCCAAGATCCATCAAACATCAGCAGTGATATCCCACATCCCATGGCCTCTCCTGAATCCAGCTTGAAGCTCTGGAAATTCTCTATCAATGTATGCCTGCAGCCATTTCTGTATTACCTTTAGTAAAACTTTACTCACATGGGATATCAAAGCTATTGTCAGATGATTTCCACATTCCGTTGGGTCACCTCTCTTTGAAATGGGCACAAATACGGATCTCTTCCAATCAGTCAGCCAGATAGTTGTCTTCCAAATTTCTTGGCAGAGATGAGTGAGTGCCTCCTGTGCCGCCTCACTTTCTTGAAAGATTTCAATTTTTATTCCATCAATTCCCGGTGTCTTGTTCTTTGCCAGTTCTTTCAGTGCAGCTTGGACTTCTTCCTTCAGTATCGTTGGCTCTTGATCATTTACTACCTCTTGAAACAGATGAACATCACCCATTTCCTTTTGGTACAGTGACTCTGTATTCCTTCCATCTTCTTTTGGTGCTTTCTGCATCATTCAGTAATTTTCCCAGAGAATCCTTCAATAACGAAAGTCTAGACTTGCATTTTTAATTCACTTTCCCCAGCTTGAGAAATGCTGAGCGTGTTCGTCCCTTTTGGTTTTCTGACTGCAGATCTTTGCACATTTTGTTGTAATATTTGACTTTGCCTTCTCAAGCTGACCTTTGAAATTTTCTGTTCAGCTCTTGTTTTGTTCCTCATTTCTTCATTTGCTTTAGCATCTCTATGCTGGAGAGACAGTTTCAGTGTCTCTTCTGACATTCATTTTGATCTTTTCCTTCTTTCTTGTCTTAATGACTTTTTGCTTTCTTTTTGTATGATAATCTTGATGTCATCACAACTCTTCTGGTCTTTGGTCTTTAGTGTTTAACGTATCAAATGTGTTCTTCAGATGATCTTTAAATTCAAGTGGGATATATTCAAGGACATATTTTGGCTCTCGTGGACTTGTTTTCATTTTCTTCAGCTTCAGTTTGGATTTTCAAATGAGCGATTGAGGGTCTGTTCCACAATCTGCCCTTGGCCTTGTTTTGACTGATGATATCAAGCTTTTCCACTGTCTCTTTCCACAGATGTAGTCAGTTTGATTTCTGTGTAGTCCTTCTGATGAAGTCCATGTGTATAATCGTCTTTTATGCTGTCTAAAGAAGGTATTTGAAGTGAGCAAATAATTGGTTTTGCTGAATTCTATCATATAATCTCCAGCATAATTTCTATTACCAGGGCCATATTTTCCAACTACTGATCCTTTCTCTTTGTTTCCAACCTTTTCATTCCAATCACCAGTAATGATCAATACATCTTAATTGCATGTTTGATCAATTTCAGATTGAAGAAGTTGATGGAATGCTTCTATTTCATCCTCGCTGCCTTTAGTGGTTGCTGTATAAATTTGAATAATAGTGGTATTAACTGGGCTTCCCTGTAGGCATGTGGATATTATCCTATCACAGACAGCGCTGTACCTCATGACTGATCTGAATATGTTCTTTTTGACAATGAATGCAACACCATTGCTCTTCAATTTGTCATTCCCAGTATAGTAAGTCATATGGTTGTCAGATTCAAAATGGCCAATACCAGTCCATTTCAGCTAACTAATGCCTAAGATATTGATGTTTATGTGTTCCATTTCATTTTTTACATCCAGTTTTCCTAGATTCATACTTCATACATTACATGTTTTGATTATTAATGGATTTTTACAGTTGTTTCTCTTCATTTTGTTGAGTTGTGCCCCATCAGCAAATGAAGGAGGTCCCACGGGCTTTTCTCCCATGGGCTTCACTCCATTCTTGTCATCATGGTCAACTCTACTTTGAGGAGGCCGCTCTTCCCCAGTTACATTTTGAGTGCCTTTCAACCTGAGGGGCTCATTTTCCGGCACTATATCTGACAGTGTTTCTCTGCTATTCATAAGGTTTTCAGTGATTAAATATTCGGAAGTAGTTCGTCACTCCTTCTTTCTAGTCTATCTTTGTCTGGAAGCTCATCTGAAGCCTGTCCACCGTGGATGACGCTGCTGGTATTTAAAACACCAGTGGCATAGCTTTCAGAATCACAGCAACTCACCAGCCACCACCGTATGACAAACTGACAGACGAGTGGTGGAAAGTAAGGGACACCCAGTTAAATTTGAATATTACATAGAAAGGAACACTTTTTTAGTGGAAGGAGTCACTGAGCTTCTCTTAAGGGTGATGGGAAAATCAGTTAACAGGGTTGAATAGCATGATGAACATAATGTCCCTGAACTGTACTTGTGATAAGTATAGAAACAGCAGGTGTTTTGTTACCTATATAATTGTGAAGTGCCAGTGAGTCAGTTGCCACTCACAGTGACTCTGTATAGGGTTTTCAAGGAGTAGCTGGTGGGTTTGGACCAATGACCTTGTGGTCCAGTGCTTACCCTACAGCGCCACACCAGAGGTCCACCAGTCGAATTAATACAATTAAAAAAAAAAAAATTCCATGCAATATATAGGACATACTCGTATATATTACACTCCTCGATGATTTTAATGTTTTTGAAACTAAGACTTACTTGTTGTTGTTGTTGTTATGTGCTGTGGAGTCGGTTCCAACTCATAGTGACCCTACACAGGGTTTCCGAGGCTGTAAATCTTTCCGGGAGCAGAACGCCTCATCTTTCTCCCGCGGAACCGCTGGTAGTTTTGAACTGCTGACCTTGAGGCTCGCAGCCCAATTTGTAACCAGTACGCTACCAGAGCTCTTTAAGACTTAATTAGGTGTCCTGTATTAGATTTAGTAAGCATACTCCCCACACCCTGATGGATCCCTAGAACCACTCCAGACCCATCTTCCCCGTGGCCCAGTGAACCACACCACCATCCTCAGCTCCATGTTAGGCCCCACTGAGCTCCCCAGCCCTCCCTTGAACCTAGAGGAGCCCCTCACTCTTGTTCCAGCCCCTTAGCTCCATCTCCCCTTCTGCTTCCAGGGACGTGGCTCGGGGCTATGAGAACGTACCCATTCCCTGTGTCAATGGTGTGGATGGAGAGCCCTGCCCTGAGGACTATAAGTACATCTCCGAGAACTGCGAGACCTCCACCATGAACATTGACCGCAACATCACCCACCTACAGGTGAGTGGGCCGCCACGGGCCCTCCTAAGGGGACACCTGGAGCTGCCATGTGCACTTGGGCAAGTTTGGGCCAACCAGGACACTGACCAGGGGTGGGGACTGAAAGACAGCCTGGTGTGGAACTGTGTCCACTTGGAGGAAGGGCTCCTTTATGTAGGCAGCCCTGGGGACACACCATCCGTAATATCTTGCTTTCCTCTCACCCTGGTACCTTAACTACCTGTATCCTAATACATGGACCCCAGAGATGCTAGTGACTGGGTCAGAGAGCATCTGAGGGCTTGAACTGACTCTCTCCTCCCTGCCCAGCACTGCACGTGTGTGGACGACTGCTCCAGCTCCAACTGCCTGTGCGGCCAGCTCAGCATCCGGTGTTGGTATGACAAGGTATGCCGCTCAGTCTGATCACTGAATCCTCTCCTCCAGAGACACAGCCCCTGACAATGCTCACACCTCCTGCCCTGAGGAGGAAGTGGCTGAGAGGGCGGGGCAGCACCTGGGGATTTCCCAGGATACTGACTGGGTAGAGGTGACTAGTGCCCAGGTATATGCAAATTGAGGGTCATAGCTGCACACTGTGTGTTCTTGGTCTCAAGTGCTGCATGAGCTCCCCAACTCCTTCCCTATCTGGGCTAGGGTCAACAGTGGATCTTTCTGTATGGAGTGTTGGGGTCCTGGGCATAGAGGTGGTGACCACACAGACCTTTGTCCTGTCTCTCTGGACCCCAGGATGGGCGGCTGCTGCAGGAGTTTAACAAGATTGAGCCCCCACTGATTTTTGAGTGTAACCAGGCGTGCTCCTGCTGGAGGAACTGCAAAAACCGGGTGGTCCAAAGTGGCATCAAGTAAGGTCCTGCCCTGCAGCCCACCCACACCTGCCTCACCCCCTTTGTCAGAAGTGTGTGGTGGTCCCTTCCCCACCCTTAGCATTTTCCAGGCCCTTTACCCAACACACCCTCCCTCCTGCCCCTAGGGTGAGACTGCAGCTCTACCGGACAGCCAAGATGGGCTGGGGGGTCCGTGCCCTGCAGACCATCCCCCAGGGAACCTTCATCTGCGAGTGAGTCTGTTGGGGTACCTAAGGTTGAGGGGTGGAGCCCACCTCTCACTGCCCGCCCCATGTCCAGTCTGCCCAGACCCTGGAGCTTTCTGTCACCATGCCTGTGTCTTCCTCCTCCTTCACTGCCACGATCTCTCAGATCTCTGAGTGGGAAAGGCACTTGTTTGGGAGAGAAGCAGCCCTGGATTTGAGCCGTATTTGTCTTGTGTGAAATGGAGATAAGCAACTGCCTTTCAGTGGCCTTGTCCCTCTCCATCAATTCCTTCTCTGCCCAGCCTCTGTAATTACTCCCTCTCCCCTGCTTCTTCCCCATAGTCTTCAAACTTACTTAGGTCTCCCTTTACCTAACCCTACTTGCCTAATCAGGAGTGCCAAGCAGTTCAAGTGAGCCATTGAGAATTTATATGGAGCACAGTTCCACTCTGATACATGTGGTGGTAGCGGTGTCCAGATTTTCTCCTTCATGCCCTCTTAGGTTCTCGATCAAGTGCCTCCTTGTCCCCACCATCCACTCACTGCTCATCCCTGTCAAACTGCACCTTTGTCAAACTACACCTTCACTCTCCGTGAGTGCTGCCTCTCAGCAGTCCTCATTCTCCTAACATCTTCCCCACCCCCTTAGACCCCTTGCCCTGAAAGGCTCCTCTTCCTCCCTTTGCTGTTCCCTTGTGCTGTTCTCCAACTCCTTCCCCCAAGTTCCTCCTGGCTCTGGTTGCTCCAGCTCTCCATGAAGCCCTGACCCCCTTCTGTCCTTTAGCCCTGCAATGCCCACCACCTGCTGGCTGATCTGAGTACACAAACCTCCTTGTGTCCAAATTCAAGCAAATTTCCCCACCCTACTCCACCTGCCCATAAATGCTGACCACAACCCGTCTTCTTTCACTGGAACCTTTCTCCCTGTCCCTTTCCTGTTACTACCTTAGCTTCTCTAGGTCATCCCGGGCCCATCTGCCCGTCCTGTCTGTTGCGTCAGCTGTTCGGTGGGGAACTGGATTGTTGTGTTCTCTTATCCCCTCACATGTCTTCCCATGCTCTTCCCTGAGTCCCCCTTCAAGGGACTACCCACCTCCCTCCCAGGTGATGTTCAGCGTCTTGTTTATGTCCCCACACCAGTCTTTGAGACTCAGATAGTAACTAGACCAGTTGACAAGTAGTAGAAGGAGGTTCCATGGGATTGTGAGGAGAGATGGGGCCTAGAGCAGTCTACCAAAAGCTCTGCTCATCTTTAGAACCATCACTTCCTGCCCAACAGGTATGTTGGGGAGCTGATCTCCGATGCTGAAGCTGATGTGAGAGAGGATGATTCTTATCTCTTCGACTTAGACAACAAGGTGGGCAGGAAACCTCTCTGCCCCATTCCATCCCAGTGGCTGGACTACTGGGGTCCCCAGGGAAGTTAGCGGATGGAAACTGGGAAGGAGGGGCCGGGTGGTCACTGGTAGTTGGTCAGGCAAACAGGGTAGGGGAGATGCGAAGAGTGACGTCCCTACCTTCAGGATGGAGAGGTGTACTGCATTGATGCCCGTTACTATGGCAACATCAGCCGATTCATCAATCATCTGTGTGACCCCAACATCATCCCTGTCCGCGTTTTCATGCTGCACCAAGACTTGCGGTTTCCACGCATCGCCTTCTTCAGTTCCCGAGACATCCGGACTGGGGAGGAGCTAGGGT